TAGTATGCAGTAGTATGTAGGCTCTATCGTGAGCCTCACTAACTGTCCCTAGCGCTGAGTGTAGGCGGGTCTCCTCTCGTTCTAGAGAGTCGTTATGCTGAGACCTCCTCTCTTAAGAGCTCCTCAACTAGGGTTGAGTGTTGCTAGGCTTCCTCTCATTTAAGAGAGTCTTACTGCTGGAGCCTCCACTCTTCAGAGCTCCGTCTCTGGCAGTAGTATGAGTTTGCAGGCTCTTTGTTTTGGAGCCTCACTAACTGCCTCTGGCATTGAGTGTAGCTAGATCTCCTCTCGGTTTAGAGAGTCGTTATGCTGAGACCTCCACTCTTAGAGTTCCATACTCTGGTGGGTGAGCTAGTCTATGACGATTGGTGAGCTTGAGCCTGCCCGTAAAGCCTAGCGTTTTGCTGGCAGGGATGTTGTTCCTTGAGTCGTGACCTGGGGAACCTAGTTACCTGGGCACTCATCCCTCAGCATGGTGGCGTTGGTATTTCGTTCCCCTAGCGCTCTCTAGACGACGAAGCGTGGAGTTCCCTTTTGAAAGGGAACGTCTCAGGTTACGCATGTAACCATGGTTCCCTGAGAATAGGGAACGAGATGCTGCGTACCATTGCCATGCTTCGGGCATTCCTGCCTGTGTCTCCTTCAGACAAAGAAGTGGATGACGTTTTCCGCAGGTGCTCTTTTATACCCACACTCGCTTTATTGTTTACATCATAGGCTGCCACCTGCCAATGCCAAGTCATTGTCATTTTTTCATTCATGCTTCAGACACCAGTCACGCTGGAGGCGTTCCCTTAGCGCCCTCTAGAGGACGCAGCGTCTCGTTCCCTATTCTCAGGGAACCATGGTTAAATGCGTAACCTGAGACGTTTTTCTTTAGTCTGGAAAAAAAGAATGGTCAGAGTTGTTATATTCACTCCTTATGGTCTGAAAATGGGCAAGAATTAACAAGAACATCTGATATTAGAAAACGAGCTGTACAGTTTTATGACAAATTGTATAGGAGTGAATATACAAAGGATGAGGCGTTATCTGCTGGCTTCTATGAAGGTCTGCCAAATGTCTTGGATGACTCAAAGGCAGAGCTGGAGAGGCCTTTTTTTTTCTGAGGAGGAACTTCTGAATGCTCTGAAGGGCATGGAGAGTGGAAAAACTCCTGGGATAGATGGACTCCCTGCTGAGTTTTATACAGAATTTTGGGCTGTGCTGGGCAAGGACTTGCTGGCAGTCCTAAATGAAAGTTTGGCTGATGGCTCTTTGCCTCTGAGCTGCAGGAGAGCAGTGATCACATTGCTACCTAAAAAAGGTGACCTGCAGAAGATCAAGAACTGGCGACCTGTGAGTCTGCTATGTTCTGACCTCAAGATCCTTTCTAAGACTCTGGCTAATAGACTGAGAAAGGTGATGGGGCAGGTTATTCATCTTGACCAGACGTACTGTATGCCGGGCAGGTCAATCACAGATAATGTCTGTTTCATACGGGATGTTTTAAGTGTCTCAAGTCTTTTAGGGGTAAACTTGGGGTTTATTTCTATTGATCAGGAAAAAACATTCGATAGAGTTGAACATCAGTACCTATGGGATACCCTAGAGGCCTTTAATTTTAGCTCCGGTGTTATTGGTATGATAAAAGTGCTGTACCAGGACACTGAGAGTTTACTGAAAATCAATGGTGGTTTGAGTGCCCCTCTTAAAGTTAGCAGAGGGATCAGACAAGGCTGTGCATGGTCTGGTATGCTTTACTCTTTAGCTATTGAACCTTTGCTGAATAAGTTAAGATCTAAAATTAAGGGTTTATTATTGTATCACAATATACAACATCAAATTTCAGCTTATGCTGATGATGTAGTGGTTATGGTAAATGGGCAACAGGACATTAACCAGCTGGTTTCTACTGTCAGTGATTTCTGGAAAATTTCGGCTGCAAAAGTTAATTGGGAGAAGAGTGAAGCACTGGCTGTTGGAAAATGGGAGGAAGGGCTACCAAAACTACCTGGTGGGATGATTTGGAAAAGGGAAGGTTTTAAATATCTAGGAGTATATCTTGGGGATTCAAATACCCAACAGAAGAATTGGGAAGGGGTGATTGAAAAAGTAGAGGGAAAATTAAAGAATTGGAAATGGATTCATTCATAACTGTCATTTAGAGGGAGAGTTTTAATAATCAATAATTTGGTGACTTTAACATTGTGGCATAGATTATTATACGTGGATCCACCTGTTGGACTGCTGTCTCGATTACAGACGATTCTAGTGAATTGTTTTTGGGACAGTTTGCACTGGGTTCCTCAAAGTGTTCTTTTTCTTCCGAAAGAAGATGGGGGACAAGGTTTGGTGCACCTGCCAAGCAAACATGCAGCTTTTCGTTTGCAGTTCATTCAGAAATTCTTGACTGGCCCCATGGATCTGGTGTGGAGAACGATGGCAAAAGTAATTTTACATACAGTGGATGGACTTGGACTGGATGCGGTGCTGTTCCTAATGGATGTTAAACAACTACGTCTGGCTGGGCTGCCTCAATTTTACTGTGGACTTTTTAAAGTGTGGGGACTTTTAAATGTTTGCAGGCTGGAGGCCACTAACTCTTTGCATTGGTTACTAGAGGAGCCTCTCATCAAAGGAGCGTGTATGGACATTGCTGGTGGGAATGTTCCAGGACTTACACAGATACTGTGTGCTTCTAAGTTTGTGACATTGAAGCATTTAGTTAATGTGGCCGGACCTGAGCTGAGCGATATAAATGCAGTCGCTGCTTTCTTGGGTCAGAGGTCAACTTGTCACACACAACTCATGGTGAATATGTGGAAAACCAGGTTGACAAATGAGGAATTGTCATTATTAAAGGACTTTAAGAATGGAAGAGTGACTCTGGATATAGCAGATCCATTTCCAAAACTTGGGATTACACCGGATTTAAAAGAAATGTCAGGTCCTTTGTTGGATCTCAATAGATTGAAAAATTTAGAGTTGGGTGAAGTAAAAGGGAAAGTGATGTATAAATGCTTTGTGAAGGCTTTTAATGAAGGAACATTAAATGGGAGAGTTAATACAGTATGGTGGGATAAACTCGGGTTGAATGAGGAAATTAAGCCAGTGTGGAGAGTGCTGTACAAACCACCATTGATAAAGCGATCTGGTGACTTACAATGGAGAATATTACATGGGTATTACACATAATTATATTAGTAAAAGTAATATAATAAGACAATAATAATAATAATAATAAAGTGTATTATTAAAAATCTCTCTCTCTCTCGGTGCATGCTGGGAAGTGGTAGTGTGGGAGGGTGATCATGGTGAGAGGGAAAATTGAACGTTTTTCTTAACTACTCTCTTGGGAGTTTTTTGTAAGGGTTTCTATGTGTTTATTTTCGCAGGATTAGTTTGATTTTTGTTTGATTCGACAAATTTCTAAATTTTTGTTCGTATATAATAGGCTAATATTGTCGTTGCAGGGACGGAGATGGCGTCGCATGTGAGTGTCCATCATGGCATTAAGTGTGTCATGAATGCTGGAGAATCTGTGGAAGACAGCATGTTAGAGGTGGCTGAGAAAGTGGGACATGAAAATATTGTCTCTGCATCCCGAATGAATAAAGTGGTGGTGTTTTTTCTCAAGGATGAACAACTAGTCCACCGTATGATTGAAAGCGGGATTTTGATAAGTGGCGCTTTTGTTCATGTTCAACCATTAGTGACTCCAACAAGTAAAGTGACAATTTCAAATTTTCCGCCGTTCATTCCTGATGCTGAAATTGAGCGTGAGCTAACGCGTTTCGGGAAACTCGCCAGTGGAATCAGAATGGTTCCACTTGGCTTCAAAAATGCGAATTTGAAACATGTGCTGTCATTTAGGCGACAAGTGTTTATGTTTTTTAATTCGCAAACGCTAAACGTGTCGTTTCGATGCATGTATGAAGGCAGGTCGTTTATGTTGTATGTGAGCACAGGTGAGATGCGCTGTTTTGAATGCGGTGCTGTTGGGCACATAAGGTTATTTTGTCCTGTGAGTGCTGTAGTAGGCCCGAGTGGAATTGAAACTGAAGTGCAAGTGAATTCACACAGAAATCAAATCATAGTCAATACTGATGATGTGGGAAATGATAAAGAGATTCTTACTGAGAGTGTAAGGAAGAATAAGGAGTTGTCTGATGAGAATGAGCAAAGGGTTGAAAGAGATGAAGTACATATGTCTGATATAAATGAGGTGGAAAGGATGGAACATCAGATAAGAAGGGAATGTGAACTAACGGATTCTGGAGATATTGAAGATCAAGGTGATGTCAAGAAAGTGAATTCATGTAAGCCTACAGAAAAGGTACAAATATTAGGTGAGGACGAGATGAACGAGGTTGATGATGAGGATGGTGTTTTATCTGATTTTTCTGATTTGTCAGATATATCCCAGGTAGGTTGTGATCAGGTTTACTCTTTGGATGAGATAAATTCTTTTTTGGAGGAGACTTTCGGAAAGGTTGCTGAGGTGAGGAATTTTTTTCCAGATGTAAAGAGATTTGAATCTTCAGTTCTATATTGGCAAAGGAGGGTGGGAGAAGAGAAACTGAGTAAACGAAAGAGGTTTCGATTAAAGAAGATTCTCACTAAACTCAGAAAGGGAAAAACCCCAGTTAAACGTAAATCAAACTGATCTTGTAAAATGAGATACATACCAAGGGTGTCTTTGCAATGCTTTCTTCTTTTTCTGTCTCTTTCTTTTCTCTCCTTATATCTTCTTATGGATATTTTGAGAGAAGGATCCTTAAATATTAATGGAGGGAGAGATAGGAATAAGAGAGCAATAATTAGAGAATATGTTCATCTCAAAGATATTAATGTAATGTTTTTACAGGAAACACATTCAGATAGTCAAAATGAAGTTGAATTGTATAGGTGGTGGGAAGGTGAATGCATTTTGAGTCATAGAACAAACTTGAGTGCAGGGGTAGCAATTATTTTTTCTAAACATTTAGATCTAAATATTTTGTCCACTATTGCATTAGAAAAAGGTAGAATTGTAATGGCTATAGTGGAAATTAAAGAGTTAAAGTTTATTTTTATCAATGTGTATGCTCTGAATATAGGTTTACAACGCATTTAATTATTTAGGAAGTTAAACACTGAAATTAGAAAACATGTTGATGAGGGAATGTGTGTAATAATGGGAGGTGATTGGAATTGTACCACTACTTTTGTATTGGATAGAAATTGAGAAGAACCTCATTCACAATCTAGTCAAATGCTTCTTAAGATTACTCAAGAACTAGAACTAATTGATGTGTGGAGAAATAGAAATCAATTAACAAAACAATACACATGGGTTAAAATATTAGACGATATTGTGACTGGAGCAAGACTGGACAGCATATATGTAAATAAATCAGACAATAATAGAGTTATGAATGTTGGTATATCTCCTTGTGGTTTTTCTGATCACCATATAGTGACTATTGATTTTAATACTACAAGGGTATCGCATCCAAAATCTTATTGGCATTTCAATGTTAAACTGTTACATGATAATTTGTTTTGTGAAAATTTTAAATGTTTTTGGGAGAAATGGAAACTAGAAAAGGAAAATTTTGAAAATATAATTCAGTGGTGGGAGGTAGGAAAAGTTCAAATCAAGATTTTTTTGTCAGCAATTTTCTTATAATAATATGGTGATTGTTAAGAGAAATATTGAAAGGTTGGAAAAAGATATTAATGGTATGGAAAATTTGCTTGATTCGAATGCTTTGGGTGAAAATAATGACTTAAAGAAAAAGAGATTAGAGCTGAAAACTCTTCTAGAGGAAAGAGCAAAAGGTGCCTTAATCCGAGCAAGGATATCTTCCATCAAGGAGATGGATGCTCCAACAAAGTTATTTTTTAATCTAGAACGTAAAGTAGTAAAGCAAAAAAATATGCTTTACCTTCGGAAGGGCACATTAACCCTTTGAATCCCATTGAAATTAGAAAAATTGCAATGCATTTTTATGCTGAACTTTTTGGGCCCAAAGACTGTGATCCTGTGAGTATGGATCAGTTATTGAAAAGGACTACCTAACTTGAAACCTGAGGACAGAAAGACATTGGATGAAATGGTTACTTGTGAAGAACTTTCAGAGGCTGTTATGCAACCGTCCACAGGACGTGCCCTGGGTGTAGATGGCTTGCCTGCTGAATTTTATAAATCATTTTGGAATGTTTTAGGAGAAGACTTTTACAATGTAATTGGTGAATGCCTTAAAAAGGGTATTCTACCCAGCAGCTGTCAAAGGGCAGTATTATCACTTCTGCCTAAAACTGGTGACTTAGGGTTGTTAAAAAATTGGCACCCTGTATCTTTAATGTGCCAAGATTATAAAATACTGTCTAAATGTTTAGCAAATAGATTAAAAAAGTTTTTAAGTATTGTTGTGAAAAATGAGCAAACGTACTGTTCCAGGACGCACAATAATGGATAATTAATTTTGTAGTAAGAGATGTAATTGACCTCTCTATGAGAAATGATTTTAATATTGGTTTATTCATGTCACAGAAATCAGTTAATTCTCAGCACATAGAGACTCTTTCACCTAGATATCACACTGTAGAGATTGTGTCTGTTCCCCGAACTAGAAAATACAAAAAACGTCCAAACCAATTTAAGAGTAACAATTTAATTGATGTTCAACAAATAAAAAACAGATGCAATACGGATAAACAAACGATAAAGCTTGGCTTATTGAATATCATGTCCCTTTCTACGAAAGCACTTTTTGTAAATGATATGATCACTGATCATAAACTAGATGTGCTCTGTTTGACAGAAACCTGGCTAAAACCTGATGATTACATTATTTTAAATGAGTCTACCCCCAAGATTACTGTTATAAACATGAGCCACGTCCAAAAGGTAAAGGGGGAGGTGTTGCTTCAATTTATAACAATGTTTTCAGTATTTCTCAGAGGGCGGGCTTCAAGTATAACTCGTTTGAAGTAATGGTGCTTCATATAACATTGTCCAGAGAAACAAGTGTTAATGATAAATCCCCTGTGTCGTTTGTACTGGCTACTGTATACAGGCCACCAGGGCACCATACAGACTTTATTAAAGAATGTGCTGATTTTATATCCGAGTTAGTGCTGGCTGCAGATACAATTTTAATTGTTGGTGATTTTAATATTCATGTTGATAATGAAAAAGATGCATTGGGATCAGCATTCATAGACATTCTGAACTCTATTGGGGTTAGACAACACGTCTCAGGACCTACTCATTGTCGAAATCATACTCTAGATTTAATACTGTCACATGGAATTGATGTTGATGGTGTTGAAAATAATTTAAATAATTTGCATAAGCAGCCAAGCGATTATATCTCAGATCATGATTTAGTCTTGTGCAAACTTCATATAGCTAAAACGGTAAATTCTACTCCTTGTTACAAGTATGGTAGAACCATCACTTCTACCACAAAAGACTGCTTTGCAAGTAATCTTCCTGAT